TCAAGCATAGCCAATGGTCAGGGGTTCTGGGAAGCTGTCCAGGAACATCTGGAGTCCCACATCCAGAACATCTGGAGTCCTGCCTTCAAAGAAATTCTAAACTCACCTTTCAATACTGGTTTGGAAGGAGCAGAGCGATCTTTCACAGCAAGATAGTAAGTAGAGAGGGGATGCTTGTCTCTCAAAGTCAATTTAAGCATAGATTTCCTGCATCAACTGAGGGTTGGCTGCAGGTGGGAAGAGGACAATCCTCCAGATGTTGTTGGACTGCAACTGCCCATGGTTAGCACAACCCAGGGTGAGCAAGGGTGGAAACCGAAGTCCAAGAACCTTTGCAGGGCAGGCGTTTACCTGCCCCTATCCTAAGGGCAGCTGGTTTGGACTGGGTGACCTGACCTGACCCCACCTTGAAAAATACACCCCAACTCACCAACCCCAAATGCACACACCTCAGTCTGAAATAGCCAGTCACCACCACCGCCCTACCTGTTCAATCTCCACTCTACATGTCGCATTTTAACCATCACCCTGCATATCATCCTCCTACACGGTCTTTTTCAATCAGGTGGAAGAAGCGGGTAATCTCTTCCTGAACAAGTCAAAGCACCCTCTGCATTTGTTTCTGTCTCGTTTGCCAGCCTCGGCTATGCCAAATGTACAACACACACACACAGCACTGGCACAGCACTGTTCCACAACCATCGATCATGTGCCGAGCCCTGGATGCGGACATGTTGTCCAACGCGCACTCCCATTAGTGAGAACGTTGCCATTGTGTCACAGTCAAAAGAGAGGGGTTTTCTCCGCCCCCTCCATCCACCCGGCTTCCTCTGCAGCCACCTTGTGCTATTCTGCTCTTAAAATAAAACCATTACACAGAGCACAAGCGGGCTTTCCTTCCACTCTCCATTCAGAAGACAAAACCTTCCTTCTAGTTCATCTAAAGGGGGATGGATCAATGGGATGAAAGGGATGTATGCTAACAGGATATGCTTCTTTTAATATAAAGTGTCTGGGGAGGATAGAAGCTTTCTCCTTGAACTCCCGTTTTCACCTATAAAACTGGATTCAGGTTTTTTTTAACCTCTCTGCACATCAGGTTTTGATTTTGCTTTTCCACAATCACCCTCAAGAGCCACATCTTCAAAACAACAACAAACCTCATTCTGAATCAAAACCCAGAGTCCTTTTACGACAGCATTCACACGTCCTCTCGAGAAAGTGCCCTGCAGATTTTCTGGACTACAACTCCTAGCAGGCAGCACATCCAAGCTTTGGGGATGATGGGGTTTGTTGTTCAGACTATCTGGACTGCAGGAGGCTGCTTTACTCCTTTGCTAACCCACCCCCCTCCACAACCGGTCATCCAGACCAGGATTTATTTATATATTTACTCAACACTCTCTCCAGCAAAGAGGACACATCTCGAAAAGATACTTAGCCTTTTTACACCCAGCTATTTCAAAGAGCCATCGGCTGTAATCAGAATTGGGGGTGGGGGGGTGGAGACAGAGAGAGACAGGAATCCGTAAGTGTGTGTAGTTAAGATGAAGCACAGCGATGGTCACAAACGCCTTCTGGGTTCAAGGAAGAGATGTGTGTCTCAAAGAAAATAAAAATTAAAAATAAAAACTTACCAGCTCTACCGATCCATAATGCTTTCTGCTGAATTCTCCCCTTCTGCAACCCAGATCCTCGGAGACAGAGCTGGAATAGAAGTGCTTCATCAGTAGACATAGCTAACTGGCCCCTGTAAGCAATCAAGAAAAAAAAATAAAGAATAATATCCCCCACCCCCCACCCCCCAGATCCTCAGTTCTGCCAAGGAGGGAGGTTTGCCGTTGCAGGGTACGGCGGCTTCACCGCTGCAGGAGATCCTGCCCGAAGCAGGGGAAACCTCCCGCAGCCATTGCAGAACCCGGCTTTCTGGAAAAGAAAGTGGGGAGAGGTGGCCTGGAGGGAGGGGAGGAGAAGTAAACACCCCCCTAATTGAAAGGCAAAAAAGGGGGGGGAGAGACAAAGAGAGAGCTATGATGCAATTAGATATTTAGCCAGGGCATAATGCTCGATATGGAAGCGCTGAGACAGACAGCGGCTTGCGATTGCATTTAGAAGTCTCTCTCGCCTGCTCTTTCTCCCCATCTCAAGAAAAAGCTTGTTCTGCTGCAGACTTAAATGCAGGCGGAGGGGGGGGGCACAGAGAAACAGCCCCCGAGCCACCTCCCATTGACAAAAAGCTCGCTGCAATCAAGTTGATTTTTTTTAAAAAAAATGTTTGCATTGCATTTTTCTGGAAGGGAAGTTGGAATTTACACACACACACACACACACAGGTACAAAAAAAAATGTCCTTGAGAAGAACTTCTCTCTTTGGTATTTAGCTCTGTCTGGCAAAGGAGGCCCGTTAACCTTTGCTTAGGGATCAAGCAACATGGGGGGGGGAGAGAGAAGAGATTATTGTTACTATTTATGGAGCTCTCCAGAGAATCCCGCGGCCATGGCCAATGCAGAGATGCGTCAACGGTAACAGAGGAGGCTGCCCGTCGCAACTCTGCAGGGATTCTCGGCAAGAACAGGAACTCATGCAGAAATACAACGAGGGGCTTACTCTTCCGTGCTCCCACAAATTTTGGAGGCACAGAAACCAAGCACCTGTCACAACAGGAAATGAGGATACCGTTTTCTTGACGCCAACTATCCTCTCCAGTCATTGCCAATCCAATGGAAGACCTCACTTTGGACTCCTACAAATGCTCCCTGTTCAGATCCAGCTTCTTGGCATCCAAGCTAAGATCACCCTCTTGTCTGCCCCACTTGGCTACACGCTCCACCTGGCCAGCATTCAGGACCTGTTGGCTGGCGGCTTTTGTTCCGGAGCCAGATTGGGGGGGGCAGGAAACCCTTCACCATGGAAGGGCCAAGAAAATAAAGACAGAGAGGCTGAAAAACGAGGTGGCTTCCTTATATCGCTTGGCGCCTTCCTGCAAAATCAAAATCAAGTGTGCAATTCACACAAGTCGCTGGTTCTTTTGATCATATCTGCTAATTATATTTATTATGCTTTACTTCTAGGAGACCAAGTGCCATAGACTGAAATCAAAATAAAAAGGAAAAGCAAAAACAGACGAAAACGTGGTCGCATCTTAAAGACTAATTTTCACATTTTTTAAAAAGTGAGCTTTCATGGATAAGTCCCCTTCATCAGACATAAATGAGATATAACATGGCAAATAGGTAATACATGCCATCAAAGCATAGATCTCAAAATACACAGATCACCTGGGGGGGGGGAGTTCATCAACCACTGTAAATAGCCCATCTAATTACCATTCATGTTACTCTACCATTGCTATTTTACCACTCTTAATTTATGACAGAGGTTGTCACATTTTTTACAGCACAAGCTTCTGTAAAATATCTGCCTATCAAAGCCACAATCATCACAATGTTTAACACGCACTGACTTTCTTACCAACCACGATCACAATATTTTGCTATCGATACTTTGATGGTATGTATTAAATATTTGCCATGTTATATCTCCTTCTCTTATGTCTGATGAAGTGGATTTGTCCATGAAAGCTCACATTATATACATAAAATTTAGTTTTTAAGGGGCCGCCACATTTTTCTCTCTCTTTTTTTTTTGTTTTTATTTTGTTTTCATCTGTAATGCTTGCACAGACTACCACGGCTTCTCCTTTTCTACAACTATTAGCATAGATTGTTCCTACCCAAGCTTGTTTTCACTTTACAATCACCCTGGGGAAAACTAAGAGACAGAGAGAATTACCGACTCAAGGTCGACCCCAGTGAGGTTTATTGCTGGAGATGAATTTTAATCCAGGTCAATTCCAGCCTTACACTCTAATCCAGAATTTCGTAACACCCAACACTGCCCAGATGGTGAGGACTACCCAGCATAGCCAGTCCCCCAGATGGGGGAAAATCTTCAGGATCTCATGCTTAGACAGACTTCCAACACCCGCTAAAGGGGAAAAGTTACTTTTTTCTTTTACTGCAGGATCCAGAAGAGTCCATTTTCCACTACAGCTGCATGAAGTCAGCGTGCCCTGGAGTCTGTTGGCCACTGAACATATTACGCATAGGGAAGCACCATGGCCACAGATCCACAACCACTTCTGTTGTGGTTCGTACGGGTTCGTTTAGTGGCCAAGCAAACGTTCGGTGCTTCAAAGCCCCGCCCCCTCTGGGAAGTGCCCACTCCATGCCCCGCCTCCTTCCAGGCACCGCCTCTGAGTGGATGCCCACCAGAGGAGGCGGGGCTTGGAAGCGCCAAACGCCTGTTCAGCTGGTAAACAAACCAGGATGAACCGAGGAACCAGCGACTTGCTGCCCGTCTCTAGAGGACAGCCAAAATACTTGCATATCTTACTGTAACACTTTCACTACCAGTAACTGGGAAGGTACTTCTACTGTTTAGAAGGTGGGAGCAGAGACCGTACACAAGTAAGGAAACTACAAAACAACAGTGTCATCTGCGGAAAGGACGCAACCAATCGCAGGAAGCCCAGGAGCAGACGAGGATCTCCAGAAGGCCAAATTCGCCCCAACCAAAGACTGTTGGTACAAATCAACCATCAACAAAAGGTCTCCTTACCCCTTGATTTGGGTTTTGAGGCTTCCTCAAGGTTGGGGAGGGGGGAATCTTAGCTTTTTTTAAAAAAAATCTACAAACCTCTGGGTTCCCCCAAACCTGCGTGGCTGTGAGTGATACCCTTTTGACTAAAATCAATGCCCCAGCACTCCATCTATTTCCCTGTCATTCTAAGAGAAGTTGGAAATAGGGAAAAAAAACTGGTAAACGGATGGAGAATTTCGACTGCAGACATTTCCCTGCAGCCGGGAACAAGAAGGGGTCATTCGGAAAACCCAAAATCACAGAGTGAATCAAACAGGGAGGATTTTAGAATCAACCTTCATTGTCCACTTTTTTTAAAAAACTGCATTGTTAAGCTCTTTCCTCTCCCAACGTCATTTCACTTTATGAGAGAGGGGGCAGAGCGTCAGGATGGCAAGAAAAATCCAATCTGGAACGCAAGCCTCCTAAACTGGTCTAGTTTAAGACAACTGCAACACTCCCCCTCCCCAAAACACACACACATTGGGATTTCTTGGACATCTAAAAGGCTTGTGTGAGATTGTTGGGATTTCCTGGACATCTAAAAGGCTTGTGTGAGATTGGAAAGAAGACTGAGACTTTTTCTTTAAAGTAATCCCTGGAAAACACTAGCTTTTTTCTTCTAGTTCTGCGGCTGGGTGTGCTGGTTGCCACAGAAACCAGTATAGAAATAATTCCGGTTGGATGGACATCGCTCCCCGATGCGGTTGCAGGTGGAATTTTAAGCAAAAAAGGGCCAGCCAGCTAGCCGTGCGGGGTCTGCTTGTGCCACTCCGAGGGTCACTCCGAAGGTGGTCTCAAAATGCGACTGGATCTGGAGATACGGTCTTGGATTTGGGGAGTGTTCTGGCCACGGAGCTCAAGAGCTTAATTATCCTTCGGGAAACAGCTTTGGCAAATGAAACCGGAAAGCTAGATGGTCCCCCCTGATGATGCCCAGCTCTGTAAGACGGATTCACGGAGTCCAAAGGCTCGGATACCAAAAAAAAATCAGCCTGTCTATGTACCACTGCAAGTTAGGGCTTCTCACCAAAAACTCTCTGAAGCTGGCTAGGGAAACTGCAGAAAAGTCTGGCCAGAGGCAAGAAACAGAGGATGTAGTGTAGAATAATATAGTGTAATAATAATAATAAATAGAAGCACAAAAGGAGGATGAATATATCCTGTTGCTATGTAACATATAGACCAGTTATGGGATCTTCAGTCACGGGTCCCACTGTTGAGTTGGACTTAAGTTGCATCGGTCACTCGACTCAGACTTTTGTTTTCAATTACTCAGACTTGACTCGCAACTGGGAATCTGCCTCCCTCCTCTCTTTTTTCTGGTGGGGGGAAAAGCTTGTTTTTAACAGGGAATATGGGATCTTGAGTCATGGGACCCACTATCGAGTTGGACTTAAGTTGCACCGGTCACTTGACTCAGATTTTTGTTTTCAGTGACTCAGACTTGACTCGCAACTAGGAATCTGCCTCCCTCCTTCTTTTTTTCTGGTGGGGGGAAAAACTTGTTTTTAACAGGGACTCAGACTTGGGCCTCGGTACCCAAGATTCAGCCTCTGGACACGGACCCACAGGCTTGCCAACATCCCTGATAAGGGACTTACCGTTTTGACTCAACTTCTTTAACAGCTCCTCTTGTGGAAGCCAGAAACCATGGACCACCTACCGAAAATCACCCAGAGGTTGACTGGTCATTCCCCAAATAACTTCTGGCTATCTCACCCTCTTCTCCTGATGGGTCATCCACCCGTTTCAAATCTCCCCCAGAAATGATTCTGTGATGTGGGAGCTACCCACGAAAGCTGGTTGGCTACTTGCAAGGAGCAACTTTTCTCAGGAAAAGCTCTGCAAATCATCAAAGCACTTTTCTCTCTCTTTTTTTGGTACAGTGAGACAGGTTTAGGCAACAGGAGGCCCGAAGAGAGAGAGAGAGAGAGAGAGCTATACTTTTTCCATGCAATATTTCCTCCAACACAAACAACCGCGTCAGCTGGCTACAAAGGCGGGCTGGAGAAGGGGGTCTTTTCCTGTCTAGCCACAAGCGGACGAAAGCTCCAGAGATGCC